CAGAGAATAAAGTGGGTGCTAGAAATTCAAGCTTAGATCCTCAAGCTCCCAGGGAAAGCACTCTTGCACACTGAGGTATCTCTCCAGCCCTTTTGTATTATTGTTCAACTATGTAGCCTAGGGTAGCCTAGAACTCATTATGTAGCCCAGGCTGACCTTAAATTCTTAATACCACAGTCTCATCTTCTGGAGTGCTGGGATAACAGATGTATGCCACTGCACCAGACTTATCAGACTATTTCAATAAAGATTAAAAAAAGAATCAAAATCAAAAAGAAATCAAAGGTGCTGGAGAGATGGCCCAGTGCTCAAGAGCACTTGCTACTCTTGTAGAGGGCCTGAGTTCAGTTCCCAGCATCCAGGCTGGCATCTCAGTTGCCTGTGATGTCAGCTTCCAGGAATCTGATGCTCTCTTCTGGACTCTGAAGACACCAGGTCTTCATGAGGGGCACATTGTACATGCAGGCAAAACACTCATATACCTAAGACAAATCATTTTTAAAAAGGAATTAAAACATTCAATTATCCCATCACCCACACATTATCTATTGAGCATGTAAACATACATGTCCATGTTGGAAAAGACTTTCACTCCTATATCCAATCCTTATCCAAAAACAACAAAAAAGTTATATTTTCCCATTATACAAATCTACCAGACAAGCATGAATAAAGAACATGTTGAACTTTTCACTCATTTTGTGATCAGTCACCTTAGTGGAGTCTCTTAGGTTTTAAATTTCTCAGTTGACTTTCTGGGTTTCCAGGCACATTAACTCTCAGTAATGCAACCTTGGCTTTGTTCCCACCAATCTTCACAGTGTTGAGTTCACTCTGCAGTCTAGGCATATTAGCATTTCCAGAGCAGTGTTAAATAATTGTGGAGATTGGAAATCTCTTTGAATTATCCCTGATTCTAACAGAAATACTTCTAGGAGCAATATGTTCTCAAGCATACATAAAATATACACATAGGGATATAAAGCTATCTCCATACATGAAAACACACACACTTTAACAGCTGGCATCTATTCACTGTGACGCTGTGGTTACTTTTTTTGAAATAGAAAGTGCATGTTGGTCAACCAGATGCCATCTTCTTTCTGATCTGTCAGTCATGTGAGCAGACTTCCTGCTTACAAATGGGTCTTACGCTCTACACAACTGACAGGTAGCCTCTCTGCTACTCTTCACTGGGAATTCTAGCATCTTAATTGGAATTTTCCATAGCTATTCGTGTGAGGTACAGCTGTACCTTGTTAATTTCTTCATCTATTATGGGTGCTTTCAGGACAGCAAGCAACTCCATGATACTTCTCTAAAGTTTGGAAATGTTCTTTCTCTCACAGTCTGGGAAGTTTCAGTATCAAAATAACATTGAAAGATCTAAAGAAATTCCTTATGAGAGTCCAGAGTTGGTGCTTAGAGGGAGAGAATTTCTTCCTCTGTTTATCAGTTTCTTTAAAAGTTATTGTTCTGGGACCTGGAGAGATTGCTTAGTGGTTAAAGGCACTAGATGTTCTCCCAGAGGACCCGGGTTCAATTCCCAGAACCCACATGGCACCTCACAGCTGTCTGTAACTCCAGTTCCAAGGGATCTGATACCTTCATGCACATAAAATAAAGTTAAATAAATTATTTTTAAAAATTTAAAAAGTTATGGTTCTGTCCAGTGGGGCCACGCCTGGACATGTACCCATGAGCCCTGTAGCCTACCACAGAGACTTTACGATCTGTATTTATTGCTGTTGTCTGTATTCATGACAGTAAAGAAACAGAACCAGCCTAGGGCCTATCAACAGATCAGTGGATAATGAAAACGTGGTACATATACACAACCGAATGCTATTCGGCTATGAAGAAAAGTAAAATCAGGAAAATGGATGGATCTAGAGAGTATAATATTAAGCAAGGTGATCTAAACTCAGAAAGACAAAAACTGCATGTTCTCGCTCACATGCAGACCCTGGCCTATAATGTGTATGTGTAAACAAGGGTAAATGTGAGTAAAATATAATAATCTAGAAAGGTGACGAAGAGTGGACATTAGGGGATGGGAAGGATGGGGAGTGGGTGAAAGGGCACACAGGATATGACAGAGGAGACGGGCCTCTAAAGAGGCAGATGTTCGTACATTCCAACACCCCCTTGTGAGCAGGGAGAACCTGCCAGCCACTTCATCAGCTGTCCATTCTTCAGCAGAGTCACTGACCTAAGTCTGTCTCCACATGAATCATCAGCCATGCTGTCCTGGTGACAGGACCCATCAGCACCGAGTCCCCCCGGAGGCACGCTCTGAACTCACCTGCTTCCACTGAGGACAAAGAGCTTCCAGCAAACCCCGGCCTCCCATACATCATATCTCAGTGGAGATGCACAGTGTGACAGAACGTTCCAGACCCACACGTCCTTGCATCTGTCACCTGGTCCTTCGCTGAGGCAGTCTTCCTCCATGCTTACCCACAGGTCCTGTAACTGAACACAATGAAGCTTTCCTCGTCGGTCCTCTCCACAAAGGTCACACAGGTGTGTTTCTCCCAGTGTCTCATGGCCTGTTTGAAAATGGCCCTCTGGCTGCCTGAAACAACAGGGCAAGGGTGGTCACTTCACTCCTGGGCACATTGCACCCTCTTTAGACAAGAAGGCACAGTCTTAAGACAAAGTTTGCTCTGATTTTTAAAAAATCCTGCTGATAATGCTGTGTTTTTTCACTTGAGGCCTAAGAGAGATTTGAAGTGTCATCATTACACACACACACACACACACACACACACACACACACACACACACACACACAGAGCTGTAACTATGGGTGGTGATGGATGTGTTAATTAATTGGGTTGTGGGGATCATTATACAATGTTTCATTATACATGTATCAGGTCAACACTTAAAATACCTTGTATATATAAGTTAGTCAAATATTTTAAATTATTTTTAAAAGCTTTTTTGGTGACTGAGAATAGAAATCCATTGGGACTCACAGTTCCCTTTGCTGAGGATGCTGACATATGTCTGTAATCCAAGCACTCAGAAGACAGAGTTAAGAGCATCCCGTAAGTTCAGGGCAAGTCTTATCTACATAGTGAGTTTCATCCAGCCAGGGTGACTTTACAAGATCTTGTCAAAGGGGGAGGGGGCTGGAAAGATGACTCAGTGGTTAAAAGCACTTGCTGCCCCTTCCAGAGGACTCAGGTTCAGTTCCCAGCACCAACAAGGCAGCTCACAGTTGTCTGTAAACCTAGTCCCAGGATGTCTGACATCCTCTTTGGGCCTCTGCCAACACTGCATGCACGTGGTGCACAGACAAACATGTAGGCAAAACACTCGTTAGAAAGAAAGGAAGAAAGAAAGAAAGAAAGAAAGAAAGAAAGAAAGAAAGAAAGAAAGAAAGAAAGAAAGAAAGAAAGAGAGAGAAAGGAAGGCAGAAGGGAGGGAGGAAGAAAGGATGGATGGAGGGAGGGAGGGAAGGAAGGAAGGAAGGAAGGAAGGAAGGAAGGAAGGAAGGAAGGAAGGAAGGAAGGAAGGAAGGAAGGAAGGAATAGCTGTTCTGAAAAGCCAAAACTTAGAGACTTGGAGTCTAGGGATTGGAAGGGTTGCTAACAGCAGATGATGTCCTAGGCTCCCCAGCTTTTCCTTTGTATTAAAATTATTTTTCTAAATGTTTGTCTTACTCAGGTCACTCAACTGGTGGTTGTAGGTTTCTAGATTAGAGGGAGCCCTCTCCCCAGCATGAAATTCTGCCCTCATTTTCTGTCACACTTACAGAAGAGTGCTCCCAAGCACTCCATAAGTCTATTTGCACACCCTCAGGAGAGTGCTCCCATGCACTCCATAAGTCTATTTGCATACCCTCAGGAGAGTGCTCCCATGCATTCTATAAGTCTATTTGTATACCCTCAGGAGAGTGTTCCCATGAATTCTATAAGTCTTTTTTTACACTTTCAGGAGATTGCTCCCATGTACTCTATAAGTCTATTTGCATACCCTCAGAAGAGTGCTCCTGTGCACTCTATAATTGTCTTTGCACACACACGTATCTATGCACTTTGAAGGTGTTTCAGTGTTTTCTGGGTTATTCAGTCTTGATTTCCTGTAAGGACTTTGAAAGCAGGTGAATTTCATACTTTTTCAGACTCTGTCTTCAGAATTCCTTGATTGGAAAGTTATTGAATAATAAAACCCCAAGCTGACACTCATGCAAACTCAATAAGCCTTCTCCAATATCTATCAAGATATCAGAACAAAAAATATTTTAACTTTGCTAGAAGCAATGAGAAGTTTCTAGAAACAAATAATTGAGAAGTACAAAGCAGAGCCCTAAGTTTTGAATGATGCAAAATAGATAGATAGATAGATAGATAGATAGATAGATAGATAGATAGATAGATAGATAGATAGATAGATAGATAGATTAAAATGAGGAAAATTCCCACCATAGTCTAGAATATAATGTGGGTATAGTGTTATATTGTCTCTCAAAAATAATGCACATAAGATTAACTTGGCTGTCTATTTATTCGACATCTTGACATACTAAATTTCACATTATTTGTAGCTCAAGCACTTATCAAAATAGCAATCCTACTAATTATATAATCACATGAAATCCTATACAAAATATTTTAATATAAAAAATTAGCTCATGTTGATGAAGGTAATATAAATTGTTGGTCAGAAGAACACAGAACACTCCGGACCAGAAAGAGCGCAGTGTATGTGTGTACCAAAGAGCAGTGGCAGCTGCTCATAGGGATACTTTTTAATCTCTGAGTGTGTGACTTTCTCTGTCAGTCTGGATGACAGGGAGAAGGCTTCTCCATTTTCTTATGGCAGTCCCTGATTAAGTACTTGGAAGCTGGAGTGCTGTCACCAAGCAGAGCGGTAGGGTAGCCCAGGAAAGTCCCCACCTCTCCCAGACTCTGTTCATCCTCTCAGGTCTGCCAATCTGCTGCTAACTTGCTCATTCAGAGTTCTCAGTGGCTGTGGCAAGTCATTGGGCCATCTGCCTCCATCAGCCACCTCTTACAGAAGCCACAGTAGCCCAACTAATAAAGGCACCAAGAGGCTGGGGCACTCACTCAATGGGGCTTTTTGTTCAGGCATCTGGCCAGTGATGCACTGTGAGCTTGCTGTAGGCAGATTTGGGGAGTCCAGCCTCTAAACCAGGCACTGTCCTAGGTGCTGGACATATAGGAAAGAAAAGGGGTACTATTCCCTGATCCCTCAGAGCTTGGGCAGAGACCAGTAAACACAAATAGAAATGAAGAAACTTTGGGTCTTGATGAATGAGGTTAAGGTTACAGAGGAAGCTGGGACACTGAACAGCTGGCAGGGGTGGTGAGGAGTCAGTGGGATTGTCTGTGGGTGTTATCACTTGATCAGAAGCCAGCCAGGCAAAGGTCTGGGGTTGTGCCTCAGGGACGGGAAGGCAGAATAAGTGTGCTGAAGAGCTGGAGATGGGCAGGCCCTGTAACAAGACGGTGGCTGGTGAGGCTCTGAGCAAGGAGGAAAGAGGAAAGAAAAGGAGGCAGGGCTCTGCAGGGAGGGCCCAAGGCCAGGAGCAGCAGCCTCAGCCTCAGTCTAGGTGATTTACATAGCCCAAAGACAATACCAGGATGCATTGAACACAAGTCTTAAGTTCCTATCGGTATTAACTCATTTCATTCCCTAGCACCATCCCCACTCAGAACAGCGAACTGTAGGCAGAGATGGTAAGTGATTGTGAGGTAGAGCCAGGATACAGACCAGGAAGTCATACCACATTGTGTGCTACCATGATACCTAGGCAGCCCCTGGTTACCACGTGGAGTATTGCTCCTGTGCCCAAGGACTACCAGGTCCATGCTGCTAATCCAGGCTGAGGCCGGGGAGCCACCATGGACAGCTCCTCGCCTGTCTTCCTCCTGCTTACTGCATAGGCTCTGCAGCCATTTAAGGCTAAACTGTAAGAATCCCCTCTCTGCTCCAAGCCTTCAGAACAGGGTGACCTCTGCAGTCACAGCCCCAGCAGAGACCTGGTGGGCCAGGCTATATGGCTACAAAGGCCCCTTAGCTGGTGGGACTGCCGTGGTCCCAGAAGCTGCTCATTCCCAGAGTCCCTCCTCGGAGGATTCCCTGGCTCCAATGGGGTCACATCTAGGGCTACTGACCAGTGAAGTTCCCTCCGATGACGTAAGGAATGACCCCTCCAGGCCATATCCGCTCTGTCCTTGATGTTGTGGCTCTTCGGATCCGGGCAGAGAAGGTCTTAGCTGTGGTGTCTGAGGTCCCAAGGCCAGGCAAAAGGGTGACGTCATCCTTGCCATCTGCAATACGGTCAACGGATCGGTTACTGTGCCACAAAGTCTTCTGTAAGTTACACCTAAACTTAAAGTTCTGCTGATGGTAAATTGCCACAAGGGGTGGGAAACCTGTGTCCTAAGGGAGCATTTCACCCACAAAGGCTTTTTAGGACCCTGGGAAGTAATGTTTCAGACCCAGAGAAGAATATGTGTAGAGACCCTGGGCTTCTGACCACAGAGAGTCTGGCTTGTTTGGGGTCCTGAAAAAGCCTCTCCCCCAGGGAAGTTTAGAATGAAGAGGGCCCAGATAACTCTGAACCCTCTGTGGGGCCAACACACCACACAACAGGGAGAGCAAGCAGACTCAGTCCTTAGCCCTGACCTAAGAATGTCTGTCACAGACTTTGAAATAATTTGGGAAAAGCTAACCAGTCTGCGATCCTGGCAGCGGGTGAGATTAGAGTCTTTGTAAATTGATTACTGAAAAAACAGAGCCTCCTAAAATCTTCCAGGTCTCAGTGATGTCTAGGCCCTTAAATGAAACATGAAGGAAACAAATGGAGTTTGTTGCTGAGTCCAGGGCTGGGGAGGTAGCTCAGTGGTTAAGAGCACATACTGAGTTGAGTTGCAGACTTGAGTTCAGTTCCCAGCACCCAAGTCAAGTGGCTCCAGGGGAGTCAACATCCTCTTCTGTC